TAAATTTACTAACTTTCCATTAGAGACGTTTGATCTTCGTAAATGACCAACCAATTTGCATAGCGACTGGACCCGGTAGAGCGTCCCGGATTGTGGGAAATGATTAAACGAAGGCTCATTTTTTTCAGCGACCCAAAAAAATGCACTTTTCGTGTATAGCATGACTTACAGTGAATAGAATCAAAAATTCTATCTTTAATTTAGACATCTGATCGTACGTAATAAACTTTTTTAATAATCTAGCGAATTTGTTTAAGGACACGAATCTAGTTGCCTAGGTGACAGTAAAAAAACAGTAGTCAGGCTATTCCTTGCTTCGCATTGCTCAAATAGGCTACGACCCTGGACGTTTAAGCGTTTGATCCACTTAAAGCTTGACCTCCATTAACTTGGGCAAAGCTTCGTTATGATTAAACGTAAAAAGATCAGAGTCTATAATATAACTGTGCCTGCATGAAGTGCACATGAGTCTTCACTAACGATGTCAAAGATCCTCAGAATACACGAATCGTTCCGCTGAACGAAAAGCTATTTACCGGAGAAGACTTTCTTCCTTTAACAGTGCAATTTGGCCAGGTAGTCAACTGGTACCATCTAGTGCAACGATGAAGAAATAAAGCTCGTGAGGCATTTGTTGTTCCCACAAATGACATTAGGAGCTCTTGTTTTTGAGCCTTCCTAAATTGTCGACTCGCACCGAATTTCAATTCCATTTCAATACGCTGTTCAAATAAAGCCGCTAAGCTAAGAACAAGAAAGATACAGAAACAATTATATATTTATGAACTGTTCGACTAAAACTTATAACAGTAATATCTGAGCTTCCAAATGGCGTTAATTGGCTTCGTCGCGCGGGGCGATTGTTGACCTATATAGCCCAGCCTCTGGGTCACATAAGCCCTCCCTGTAAAGGTTACATAGATCCACAGTTTGGATGTCATGGAAAAGGGGGCCTTTGGATGGCACATTCGCACAATTTTTATTTCCTGAAAATCTTCGTTCTTAATTAAATTAATTTTGGTCCATACAGCCCTATTACGTCTTCCTGTTTGTCTTACTCTATGCCTGCACGCGTCAGGATCCAGGTTCGATGAACCTAACTTGCACATCTTGCATATGTCTAAAGTTCGATACGTTCCTAGACAGAATACTAGCTTTTGCCCAAAACATCTTGTGGCCACTCGAACTGACTATAACGGGTAATAGAATAGTACATTCCTCAATGGACTGCAGATGGCCGATACAGAATTCTGATAGGTCATCTATTGTTATCGACCCGAACGTCCAGAACCGGGTCAGCTGGGACTGCGCAAACTAACAAGTACGCTTCCCGTACATTTACCATTTTTCTGGCTGAGATTATTTCTAACCGCAATAACCCAATTGACCCACCGTTGCAATGAGGAAAAAGTGTTACCACGTAGATTTCTTGAACTTGGTTGCATATTCCATAGAACAATTTCATGATATAAAATGAGTACGTGGTTGAAATAGCATGAAATATTTGAGAAAATGGTGTACCTTATTACCAACAAATTGCCTGCGACGCGCCTTCTAATATACTATAGAAAAAATCCGAAATAGGTTCGTTATTATATGGTGTATTTATTATATTCGTTATTATATAGTATAGTGTAGTATAGTATAATTAAGATTGCTTTAATGGTTGATAAGGCTAGGTTTGCCGTATTAGTTTTTAACGTCGACGTATTATTTATATAGCAGCGATATCTAAGCTGACGCACCTTGACGGACCTACTGATATATAATTGGGGTGGTGTAGCAGAAGCAAAAAGGCATTGATTTTCTTACATAAATCGCCCACCAGGATTGATCTGTTATTGTCTGCGTAGTAAAAACTCTAGGAATGAGAGACCCACCCAACACGAGCGTGTATTCAAAAATGAACTGTGGCCTAAACTAAATTAAAATGGTGCAACGTAAAATGTTTGAAAAATTTTAGAATATATTTAAAAAACGGTAGTTGATGGAAACAGAAAAACAAATAGTGATTTGAGACACCTTAGTAAAGTTCGTAGTTTAATCACATATAGCCTGTCAGGCATAGATACTTTAATTAATAATTAATCAGTATTGTTTATTCACGTATGCACAAAAACATATTTTTGTAAAAAAAAAATTGAAAAAAAAACGAAGCATTCTGAT